GTTAAGTGTCATTCTGTGTCATACAACTTATAAGACGGTTTCTTATTTTGTTCTTGAGAGTCACACACCAGCTTCATAAGGACCTCATATATACTGACAATATTTTGGTCTTATAAAACATCTCAAATCTTAAGGATTTCCTGAAGTTACTTAAATCAATCCAAATATTTTATAGTAAAAACTTAGTTTTGAAGAATTTCTTGTTTTCAGATGTTTTATGTTTACCTGGACACGCTCTCAATGGTACCAATTTATATAAAAAGATATGTCTGGTAAAAGTCAATAAACTAATCATAGATAACAGGATTAAAATGTTGTACACCAGACGCGCGCGTTTCGTTTACAGAAGACTTATCAGTGACGCTTGAATTGAAAAAGTTAAAAAGACCAAATAAAGTACGAAGTTGAAGAGCATTGAGGACCCAAAATTCCGAAAGGTTTTGCAAATTACAGCTAAAGTAATCTATTCCTGGGAATAGAAAATCTTAAGTATTTCGAAAATTTCAAAGTTTATAATAGGAAAGTCACTCAAAAAATAGAAAGAAAAGGAAATGAGAAACAACTAGTGGTCAGAATACCTTAATGATGACCATGCTTCAAAGTCACATGTCAAGCTCTTACTGCCGTGTCCTGAATTTAGTTAAGAAAAGCGAAAATTCACATTCCGAGAGTGAAATTAATATTTATGCATGCACATGGTTTTCTTGCGCAAGAAATAGTATTGACTGATTGATTGACTGTTGGTTGCTAAACGTCCAGTGGCAAATATTCATGTATATTCAGGACGAAAACAAATTAACGATAAATACAATAAGTAGGTCCTGTCATTGAGGCCGTCCGGGATGAAGGTCGGGGAAATTGTGGACTCCCACTGGAAAATGAGGGTATATTGGATAGGGACATAAATTGTTCCCTGCAACAGGTCACATACGGATCCTTTAAAGAGTTGTTGCATTGGTTTTTAACGTGCAAAGAGTGTGAAATTTTATTTACACAAAGCATCGGATTTAACGTCCTCATTCAGACGGGACGTGGATGCGTACTTGCACATCCCGCACTGAAAAATGGACGCCCCACTTTGCAAGGGTTTTACTGCCGGTCGGAAGAAGACCAATAGCGACCATATTTCTATTCTCCAGTCATCCTTTGGGGTTAGAAAATGAAAGGAATACGCACTTATATTCTGGATTAGAACATGGATTTGCGTTATCACGTTTATGTATTCTAGGCTCAAATCTAATGAAACTTAGTTGAATTCGGATGTCAAACTATCTACCTTAAGTGGTTTGACTCTGGATTCTTTGCCATTTAATCCGGCATTTGTTTGAACGAATACCGATAGTGTTGTCAAATCGGTATTGTTGTGTTGTGTGAACAGATTGCAATATAATGTAAATCAATGCATACAATTTTTTCCGAAAATTTTAAATACACTACCAATAAACACCAACGTCAATTATTTACTGATGGACATTTTTCTGTCAAATTATTCACTCCTTTAAGTCCGACTTTCCATTTTATTAATTTATTACTATACAAAATATTAACAGAGACTTATAAAACCATACTAAAATTGTATAAAATAATTAGCGTTGTAATTAAATCATTATTGTAAAATATTAGTTACGATTTTAAAATTTTTGAAAAAGCATGCAACTATTTTGTTTTTCATTCACCACAGTTTAACTTTTAGATACCAATTTACTTGTGTGCATCCCTGATAATTGGTGCTAATTTGTTGCATAGAATTTTCGTCAATGTATTCACTGTTAAAACTTGAGTGACATGATATATATCTATGATTATTAATTGATAAATTAAGTTGCAGTTTAAACTTAATAATTTTAATGAACATTCCCTTGGTCTGTAAGTAACTATAAATGAAATTAAATGTTTTGACAGAAATATCGTTTTGTTTAATTATCTTTCTGCTTTACGATCACTGTGTTTCCGACCTAAAATAACTATTTTTAAGAGAAATATCGTTTTATTTAATTTCTTCTTGCTTTCCAGTATTTGCTCAGACTATGATGAAAATACAAAATCTCACGTGGTAAACTTTCAGAAATAATCAGTTTATTCTGGGACATAATACATTGTCAGTATACTATACCCAGGTGTATTGTCACAATGCACAACAGCACGTTGTAATAAATACTACACACACAACGCGTACAAGGACCGTCTCGAAACATAAATTATGTAATTGTGTTATCATTATACTTGATATTTAATAAACATTCTCATATGTTCTGTCAAACGGTAAATAGGTTGGAATAAATAAATATTTTTTTTTACTGCAATCTAGTCTTTACTTTCCGATCTAAAAATGAACTTTGATTGTGGAAATATACAATGTCACGTGGTATCCTATCCATAGAGGGACCGTACCAAAGACATAGATAACTACCTACATAAATGATCGAAAATTTTCAAGACGTTCCGATAATCTTGTTTCCGAGGATATCGAATGGCCCATAGAAGCTTCCAAATATATAGGCTCAGGGGGTTCATTTAAATTATTGAAAATAATAAACACGATATTGATTTAAAAATATTCTGTTTCTGTATGTTATTAAAAAAAAACTCTTTGAATTAAATCGTAAATCGTATTTTTTTCCACAAGTGTAAAAATCTCTGTAAAAACCAATGATCCCACACAATTTGGGAAGTTGAGGCCTTAATCATTTTATTATTATTATGAGCTTGATTTCAATGTTTTCTTCCTTAAAAAATAGTACATTATCGTGTTCAATACAAAAACAATCACACAACTAAAAGCTAGGTATAATACATGAATGTATTTCAAAATATAAAAGCCACATACTTTGATTAATAAGAACATAGTTTAATCATTAAAGTCTTGATAGGTGTAGAAGCATAATTATACCTTTATAATCTTGAATGTGAAAGATATTCATCAAATAGTAAATATACGTGAATATATATATTGCAAAAATCCTTGGTCATTTTAACTTATCAAGCTTAGTTGCTTTTTCGCATAAAACCCGAGAACGCGAAAAATAAGTCACAATGATGACAAATTTTAAATTAATTATGATTAAGTTATTTTTTTTATTTAATTTTGTTTAGTTTCCATGCATTTGTCATCATTAATCTACTGTAATTTTACTTCTTGTATCATGTTTTGGAATTGTAAATAAAAGATTATACATTTTGTTTGTATGAACAATACCATGATACCTCTTAGACAATAATCCTTCATCTGTTATATCAGAGACATATATTACAATTGTATCATATGTTACACACAGTATCTGGTCATATTATCTAAAAAAAAATTTAAAAAAAATATATATATTCCTGAATATTTATTTGAATAAACATTTTTCTCCAAAGAAATATAACAATGTAATTTTAACACATTATTTAGTATATTTATTAAAAAAAATACATATATATACGTCTAAACAGACTTTCTCCGTGGTTATACGGGGCTAACACCGCAATTTATATATACTTCGTCTGAAAGTTAGCCCAACAATAAACAATTGGTGATCTGCTATGAGAAAGACGACGACAAAGCATTCGTGGTTTGCAATGAGAAAGACCACGATAAAGCATTGGGGGATCTGCCATGAGAATGACCACGATAAAGCATTGGTGATCTGCCATGAGAAAGACCACGATAACGTATTGGTGATCTGCCATGAGAAAGACGACAATAAACCATTACTGATCTGCCACAGAAAAACGACGATTAACCATCACTGATCTGCAATGAGAAAGATGACGATAAACAATAACTATTCTGTCACGAGAAAGCGACGATAAACCATTACTGATCTGCAATGAGAAAGACGACGATAAATATTACTGATCTGCCATGAGAAAAACGACGATAAACCATTACTGATCTGCCATGAGAAAAACGTCGATAAACCATTACTGATCTGCCATGAAAAAGACGACGATTAACCATTACTGATCTGCCATGAGAAAGACGAAAAAACCCCATTACTGACCTGCCATGAGAAAGACGACAATTAACCATTACTGATCTGCCATTAGAAAGACGACGATTAACCATATGATGGGGTGTTTAATTACTTTTATCATTTAAATTTGTAGGGCATTTTTCATTATCTTTACAAATTACTCTTATTCTGTAAAGTTTGCATACAAATAATCTTACTATTTAATTTTTCTGTAATTAATTGATTTCTTCATTCTGTACATCGTTCATTTCTGTAATCAGTATTTTATTTCCTAATTCTTTTATGTTTCACAGATATTCTTTATACTTTAAAACCCCATTATTCCGTTTTTTTTAAATATTTTTTGCTCATTTTTCTATATGCTTTTTGTGTCCTTTATTATCTATATGTAACCCACATCCAGACCCTCAATTATACTCCTTTTCATACTTTTCGTGTCAACTCTACAAGGTATAATCTAGATACAATTTCTCGTTAAGTTCTCAAAGAAAGTCGTATGTGATTTCTTAGAATTAGAAAACACTCAAGATGCAGCCTTTCATCGTTAAAATTGTAAAACTTATACTGAAATGTGGAGTATATGTCAAGCAAGTATATGAGACAGCAACCTAAAGACAAAAAATTACCAAACGACATAAAAAGGTCAACGTATATTCTTCAACAATAGACAGGTGTCAATACAATATACATGTCAAGATCTAAATCGTCCCGAGTGTATATTAAAAGTCTACTAGCGGAATAAAATATTGATTTACTGACGAATTAAATCGTGTTTATCAGATAACCCTATATCTTGTTTCGTCCTTTAAAACTGTAAAACACATAACACGTAACGGGTGAATTATAATTCATATTCATGAAATATATTTACACGTATATAATTAGCATAAAATTTAAAAAATACATTAATTGAACGACCTTTAACATATCAAATAAGCTAAATATCACACACTTGGTGACAAAATAGAGATCATCTATGTAAAACCTATAAATATACAAGGAAAATGTGAATTCTTAATAACCCAAAATGTATATTGACAGGTAAATGTGATTTAAATACACAAAAAATATATCAATGTACCCGGAAGTTTTAATGTACGAATATGAAGACAAATACTGTTCCAGTAGTAATATGTTTTTCTATTTTGTGTAACTATGGTGGCATATATGCCGTGGTTCCAATAGGTGAGTAGCACTATTTTGATCTTTTTTTGTTTCTAAACTATTGATGTTCTCATCATAATAATCTGGTGTTAAATGAGATAAAAATGTTAAAATAATGTATGCATTAGACATAATATATAATTTTATCTAATATAAAGAGCATATAAGTTTAATCAAAACAGAAAATAATGTAATTTTATAACTTTATTATAGGAAATTTAAGCTGCAGTTTTGAAACAGATTTTTGTAACTGGAATACAACATCCTCAATTTGGACACGATATAATTATGAACATGGACAAAGTGACGATACAGGCCCCAAGGATGCAAAACATGGAGGTATGTTATCCCAAATAACTGAACTGAATAAAAATATACACATTTATTCACTGCAGTATAACAATATTGAACGTTGGTTTCAAAACAATAGTTACTGACTAATTACACTGTTTGATTTAAAAAAAAACCAAATAAGTTTGATCTATGACTTTCTTTTGGTAATCATTTTACATCCTGTATTGTATTAAAAACAAACAAGAAATTCAACAACATAATTTGAATTTGAAATGCACGTCAGAATTACTATATTGCCAGCTAATTTTACAAGCGTTTTTTTTAAAAAAAAAACCAGGCGGAAAATACCTAGGGAAACATTCAATTCACAAAAGTCGATGAGAAACTGACAGATTCATGACAAAAAAAAATATCAATTTGAAACTAAATATATAAAGCTTCTTTAAAAGTTTGGCCTGATGATTAAATAAAAAAAAAGGGGGGGGGGGGTATAATTGCCCCGTGCCTCCATGTTTTCGTAGCGTATGCCACTTATAGTTTCAAAAAGTTATGTAAAATCAGAAAGTGAAAGAAATAGCAATACCTCGAAGTTTTAATGGAATGAGACAAGGTGATAGATAGGGTAAACCTTTCCTGCTATCAATGCAGCACCCGGAAAAACCTTTCCTGCTATACATGCAGCACCCGTCATACGGTTCCAAAGTCCCATACAGTAATAACTAGGATTGTGACAAATGGGAAATAATGTTAGATGACGATAATGAACATGTTGGATTATGTGACAGTGTTAATGTGTCTCTTCTGTGTAATAGAGAAACTGGGACTGTCAACCAGTCCACCAATGTGGTGAATTCAATATATAATAACATTTTACGATCGCAACGGTAACTTAACAAATGATCCAAAAAATAAAACCAGTGTGCATGACAATATATTGATACCAGAAGCTAATGAAATAGAAAAAAAATAATTTATTTGCAAATTTCAGAATATTATATACACACAACTGAAATCACACAGGGTGATAATGCAGCAATAACTCGTTTAGAAAGTGAGACATTTAACACTGCCACAACTTCAAGTAAAATATGCTTTATATTCTGGTATCATATGTTTGGTATACATGTACAGAATCTTACTGTTACTGTTGGAGGTAGTCAGAAATTTGAAAAGATTGGCAACCAAAGTCAAGAATGGCACTGTGGTGTGATAGATGTCACAGATCAGTCAGGAAAGGTAAAACAAACAACAACAAAAAACAAAACTCAAGTGATGTAATTTTACTTCGGTATATTCAAAATAGATGATTGGTTGAATTATCATTGATATGGTCATAATTATAAATTAACTGTTTACAAAACCTTAAATTTTTGATATACTAAGGCTTTTCTATCTTAGGAATGGATTACCTTAGCTGTATTTGGCAAAATTTTAAGGAATTTTTGGTCCTCAATGCTCTTCAACTTCGTACTTCATTTGGCCCTTTTAACTGTTTTTAATTCGAGCGTCACTGATGAGTCTTTTTTTGTAGACGAAACGCGCGTCTGGCGCAATTACAAAATTTCAATCCTGGTATCTATGATGAGTTTATTGACTACATAGACTGGTTAGTTTGGAATCAGAGTACATGATTGGTAAAAATTTAGAGTGGTTATTTTGGAATCAAAATACATAAGTGATTTTACTACTTAGACTGATTAGTTTGGATTCAAAGTACATGCCTGTTTAACTGTTTAGACCGAGGTTTAGACAGTTGCTTTTGTTATTCCTAATTACATTGCTTTTTTGCACATCCGCCCGTAATCTCTGAAACACTAGAAATGGGAAGTATTTAAAATGCTGGGGAACAACAACTTTAAATCCCCGGTTTGTGATTTTATTTCTTCAAACCCTCCCGAAACAGACGGATTTTGGATTAAAAAAGATTAGTTTGCTTTGTATCACACCCTTTAATTTCATTTTTGCTCAAGTGACCACTAGAATGTTAAATAGAATTTTAAAATTGATTCACATTTTAATTGTTGTTATGACTATGAAGTTATACATTCAATCTGGAAACCTGCAACCCACAAATTCCTTAAAGTTCGCAGTGAGGTTTACAGATAAAACAGAAAATAAAAAATAATCATTTCAGAAGGTATCATGAGACTGCCTAGACGGGGGAAATAAAACTCGAAATAATTAGGGGTCACTCATTACATGTTGTTTATTTTTTACAATGACTTTTTACCCATAGAAGTTATTCCCTCATTAAGCCGACACGAATGCAATTGACTAAATCAAAACTTAAGTCAAAGGTGCTATGCGTGTGGCCACAATTCGGCTAGAAGATTTACAAATAAGGAGATGTGGTTTGATTGCCAATATGACAACTATCCAGCAGTTTCCAAAGGACGAGAATGTACTTGTTTGATAATATGACCTTGATAGATATTTTTGTTTGTTAGAATGAACATATCTGAAACGTAAAACTGTACATTATACTTCTATCTAAAACGTGTAAATCTAATCGTGAAAAAACGATCTTCTTTTTATACTCAATGTTTGTACGGGAGCATCAATCTGTGTAATGTTTTCCGTTTCTATTACAGATAGTGTTCAATGCATACAGATCTGTACTGCCGTATTCCGTAATAGCTCTTGACTATTTTCAAGTAGTAAATAGTGATACATGCGGTCAAGACAGTAAGTTTGTTTTTTGTTTATAACCAATGATACTGCTGGTGGAGGTTTCCTCCCCGAGGGTATCACCAGCCCAGTATGAATTATCATTGATATGGCCATAATAATACATTAGCTGTTTATAAAACTTTGAATTTTTCGAAATACTAAGGATTTTCTACCTCAGGAATAGATTACCTTAGCTGTTTTTGACAAATCTTTCGGAATTTTGGTTCCTAAATGCTCTTCAACCTCGTACTTAATTTGGCCTTTTTACCTTTTTTTTTAATCGAGCGTTACTGATGAGTCTTTTACAGACGAAACGCACGTCTGGAGTACAAAATTTCAATCATGGAATCTATGATGAGTTTACTTACATAAAAGATATTGGACCGGAAGTGAAGCAAATTAAAAAATATACAGTTTAAATTTCATATACAGTATATTTGTTGTAAGGTTTTGATATTTTATTAATACTTGTAAGATAAGATTAATATAGGTATATGTTCGGTTAAACGACACTTTTTGTTTTTGTTTTGTTGCTTTGTTGCTGTTTCATTGTCGTATATCTCACATCTCTTGTTATTGATATAGTATACAGGCTTAAAAGTGTATACAAGATTTTTTGCTCAAGTTATAGTGTCTATTAATCAATGATACCGTACACATAATGGCATATCATACATGTACATGTTGGGGTACCTAATTGAACGGCATCGATCAGTTACATTCCGTGTTGTAGGGTTAAAGCTGTAATAGGTACAATATTTGATATAAGACCGGGAACAACAGAGAAGTTTTCCTTCCAAAGACAGTCAGATTTGCAATTTTTTTGAATGTGTAACCCTTAGTTTTATTATACACATATTTAGCATATCCTGCACTAATCTATGAGAGATGTGATTTCATTCGATAAGTTTACTTATGTTTATGACAAAAAGAACTGAATATATACGATTGTGTATTTATCTGTTATATTGTATTTTAGTCGATCGTTCTACAGATATTTGTCGTCTGTGATATTTTTACTTTAATTTTACTCTAAGTGTATAGTATGAGTTGGTAAAGATAAATTGTGTCAACAACGTTTATGGTTGACTGTTTTGACATATTTTGAACCATTATATTCTCCAGATTGTGTCAAATTAGTCGCCTCGAGTACGACAAGACCGGGGACACCTAGTATTGCATCACCAACATCTTCAACAACAGAAAAAGAATTTACTGCGACATCTGCGACATCTGCTTCGGGAGGTGTCATAGGTAGGGATCACATTTCAAACGTAAATGTAATACGTAAATATGAATCCGTTTTTTTCATGGAACCAAATTGACCAATAAAGTACAACTGGTATTCCCCTGTTATTAACTTAGGTAAAACAAATATTATAAAATAACTTATTGAAAAAAATGGTGAATTTTAACATTTTTCTGTTTTCCCGTTCTCTTCTGTTATGATCAAGAAGTTACTTTGTCATTAAAATCGATTTTTTACACATTTTAAGTATATCTTTCTCTCAATTGAATGGTAACTTGGAAAATGCGAACGTATTTCTTCTTTCTCAATTCTCAGCACCGAGAAGGATAGTAAGAGGTATAATATTTCTTGGTGGCGAATTATAAGATCGTTATCAATTTCGAACTTATTAATAATAATAATTAGTTAAAAGAAAAAACACTTCATCTAGAGAAAAGGCCATTAATGTTTTGTTGCAATCCATAAAACTGTCTCATCAACATTTGTAAGGCATATAACTGTAATTTTCGATACTTAAAAGTCAGATGAATTCATGGAATTAAGAAGCATCAAAATAAGATAGGTAGATTCGGAGTCCGATTGATCGGGTCTGGGAGGAAATTGAAATTTTCTGTGTTCTGTTCTCTTTTGAACTCGCATTTAAAATTCGACTCCGCGAGTCGGTTAGTATGTTTCCTTATTCTTGTACTTTGAATTGCTGCACGATTGCTGTTTGGTGCTAATAAAACAAACATACAAACAACCAATCACAACTATTTTATGTATGTTATTTATTGTACCGAATACAAATTAATAACATTTCATACAAGCACATTGCTCAAAATATTTAACTTTATAGTAAGTTTATTCTTTAATCTCCTTTCTCATCAAACACTCACCTTTCCTTTTGTTTCTTTCCAAATGCACTTTACATGTAATAATCAAAGTTTTGTTTCTCATAATTATGCAAAGTTCTGACTCGTTGTGATATAAAAAATTGCGTCATAGATCTTAAGTAATGCAAGGAATGGTATATTCATATATAAGTTCCAGAACAATATCTATAGTAAAAAGAGATAACAATCTTGGTGGCTCGAATCTCTCGCAAAATATGCAGTCTTCAAACTAATTTGAATCTCACTCACACATGCACATGTCACCGTAGTTCATATACATATATATTTACTATTGTTTGATTTGCGGCATTCATCTGTTCATTCATTTCTCTTATTCATCTGTTCATTCATTTCTCTTATTCATCTGTTTATTCATTTCTCTTATTCATCATGACTGAGATGGTTGATAAAGTGGTATACAAGTAAGTCTCTATTTGTTATTTGCCAACAAGTAAAATTGGTTTATGTTCGGACGCCTGTGACACACACCAATTACACACCTTAGAAATGTCTCTATATCATATTGAATATAATTTGTTAGTTTATTGATTTGTATTGCTTATGAAAGCAAAAGAGTAAAAGTAAACGAGGATCTTATCTAAGAATGAATAACAAATCTTCAAAACAAAATCGTATTGATACTGATTCCCGTGTGCACTACTATATAACAAGTCTTTTTAGGGGTACGGAGAGCCAAACATATGCAACGTTTCGGAATATAAAACCATAAGAGCATTACTAAAGCAGCCAAAACCGCCAAGAAAAACATGACCCGAGTGTGTTGCAACCTTAGCTTTAGTATAATTCATGACCTGGAAATTTGCAGACACAATTTCATTAAAATCATGCAAGTGCTGGAAACACTGGTTACTAGACGGCTGATACCCATGGGGACTGGTAGTTCATTAGAAGCGACACAATGGTGGTTAAACAAACGTATGATACTGATGTAACATTAAAAAGCTTTCACTTTTTATCATGATATATATATCTATCTCTATATATCAAAGGACTTCGATAAGTAAGCGTCCTGCGTATTCTAATGTACAAGTTATACTACAGATGCTGCTAATTTTCCCCGAAAATTGTCCAAGATTACATTGTACCAGTCTTAAACTGAGTGTTGCATATGTAAATTAAAATAACTTTAAACCTTTATTTTATACATAGAATTATTGCCTATTGCGATTGGTGTTCCTTGTGGTGTTTTAATTGTGGGAGCCATAATAGTAGGTGTGTGCATACACAAAAGGTAAGAAAAGCTTTATCTAAGTATACTTAAAAAACATATAAAACATTATGCGAGAACAATTTTCGTTAAGTTTTGTAGTTGCTTTTTCAAAAAACCATTTAAGTGTTGCACTAAAAATAGCTAGTCAACTGCCTACAATGTAAAAACATAATCTGGCTAAACAATATTATAGAACAAGTAGGTTTTGGATTACTATTACACAATACTTTTCTAATGTACACACAAAAATGCAAGCACAGTGACGTATACATTTAAAATGCAGCTTCATATATTTCATCAAATTACACAAAATTATCGATCTTTTATTCATTTGTCAATGTACTTTAAATGAATGAAAGATGATACTTTTATGAGACAGCAACCCAGCGAAACAAATTACAAAATGCATTTAGAGTTCTATAAACAGTCTTCCCACATCATCTTATTTTTATATTTAACAATAGGTAGGTTAATAAACATTATGCTGGGTCTAAATTGCCAGGAGTTTAAAAATCCGTGAATAATTGAAACAGAAACAACCTAATCTAAACAGATAATACCTTTTCCGTTATGACCTTGCCGCCGATATTCGCGTATAGGACGACATAATTTCATATCTGTATGGTATGATATTCGAGCTTGATTTCTCGAATTGCGAGTTTTCTGTGATAATGTATTTCATAATAGTTTTGTTTATACTTGTGTTCTTAGTATGTGTCTATTGCACCGTTTATTACAGTTAAGTGTTTTCCTGTTCTTTCATGTGTCGTTTCTAATGTATGTTGTACGTTCTTTCGTATACCGATTTGTACTGCATGTTCTTTCCAGTACCGATTTCTACTGTATTCTATTTTATGTACCGCTTTCTACTGCATTTTTTGTATGCAAAATATTTAACTCTTAAGATTAAATGGGGCTGAACATAGCAAAACATATTCTAACCCAGCCGCATATTCATGTACCTCTCCAAAGTTATGAAATATCTTAATGTTTTATTTTGTTATTTTGAAAAGTTGTATTTTAAAACAGATCTTTCTGAAAATTCTGATTATGCTCTATAGCCACGGTATAATAGATAACAAAAGCACAAACAAAGCACAAATAACCAATCCCCACAATTACTGTAAGCAAACTCCAAGCGCCAAACCTGCAGATAGGAAATCGTACCGCCAAGCACTCTTAAATAGGTTGCTGTACTTGACAGAAGATTTCAAACAGTTATGTCAAAAAATTGTTCAAGAAGACACTACCCCGTGCAAATTCCAAATCAAACCTGTACAGAAATGTCAATAAAACAAACGAAACACTTTAGTCTCGCTTCAAATACTCAACTAGCATTGACTGAACAGCAACAGTACATCTATTTGATTACAAGTCAATTAAGCCATTCAAAATATTTTAAAGAAAATTTCAAATCTTTTTAGCTTTATAAAATAAAAGAAAAATAAATAAAAAGCTAGGTGGAGAATACCACTTTTTATCACATTTCTGAAAGTGAAATCATACTTGACAATATATTTTATATTTGGAATGCAGTTTAGAAAAAGCTTTGACCAGTCTTTAATATATATTCCTGTTGTAAACGTTTTTGTAAAGAACATATTACATAGATTGAAATATGAGACGTCACTGCAACACGAAATCTTACTAAAACATCGTTTTTCAATATGCAGTATTATTAATAGTTCGTTCCATTGCAAATATTATATATATTTACGTAGATTAAATTAGATTTATTCCTGATTGAATGGAATGGAAGAGTTTAACGTTTATAAATTGTTGTAAGACAAAATCTCTCAAGATACAAGGAAGTAGCAGTATATCAATGGGTGTACGCTTTTATTGATATTTTTATCAGTGCTGATTTTTACTATACATCAAAAAAATTGTCTGTAATTTGGTAAATTCTTCTTATTCCTGTCACAGCTAGATTTTTATGTGATCAATATATTGATAAAGGGCACAGGAAGTTTTTGCTTTTTAAAATATAACACTATCGACATTTGCGCATAAAACTTTGATACAACTATGCACAATTTACTTCACATTTGTGTCTTTTACCTATAATATTTCATCTGTAAACGGAATTTGCATTTTTAAATGTACAACAACTTTAGAGTGCTTGTGGTATGGTGAAGAATCTTTATGGTTGGAAAATTCAAATTTTGTCCTGAATTCTTCAACCAGCTTTATAGGATTCGTGGATTTAAAAGTGGAAACTATATCCCTCTTGTGTTTATTCTATTGCCTGGAAAATATAAAAAAACTTTTATTGTTATTCTAAGCTTCTTCAAAATTGTTGAGACCGAAATTTTATTCATTTTTTTAATAAAAATTAGATAAACCAAATGATAAGAACAAATGTCCGTGCGTTTTCTTTTTTGAATTGCTTTTCTTTTTTAATGCTGGGCATTTTACAGCTTGTTATACGGTACGGGTTTATTCAATCAACGTTGAAGGAATTGTGGTGACCTAAACATGTACTTGTTTACATCCTCGTGATTTGATCTCTGGTGGTAATCATAACAAATTTCCTTTATATATATATATAATTTTTGTCTTATATATAAGAAGAGCGTTTGATAAACAAAATGTAAATTACATGAAAAATATATACGACAAATTTAACAACAATCAGTTAATCCAGAGTCCATTGTCCTCAGTTTCATTTACCATTCTAAAAAAGATCCTAGACTTTGCACCTTTGCACTTTGAAAATGTGCTGAATTGAGTATATATTGTAGCCTTTTTGTCAGTGAAACTCATTAAGTCAGTTTATACATTGAGCGACCAGTGAAGAGAAATAATTGTAAGATTACGAGGTACATTTTTTTAAAATATCAACCCAATTCAAGTTCCAGAGTATTATCACATATTATAAATTTCGGAATAGGTTTACGAATTTCAAAAGTTGAATGTGATAAGTAAAATTCTCTTATCTCTATGTATCTATTTCGAGATCCTCGTAGTTGTTTACATAGGGTTTCAATATTATTTTGATAGAAGTTTCTTATAATGATCAGAATTTCCTATTTTAATTACATAGTTTAGAAATTTGTCTCCATTTAAAGTATATTTCCACGAAGACAACTGTTTATGTATAATATCTTTGACATATGTATATCACGAATAGTTTAGTGCATCTAACATCTTTCAGATTTCAAATGATCCCTCTAATAGGGGAATAATATCTTTAATATGTAGTTTAGCCAAATATAATATAGATTGGACTTTATTATGGTTTTCTTTTAGTAAATTTCCCACTTCAGACGAGTTGCTTAATTTGATAAGTATTTACAGAAAGATAAATGGGCCTTTTCAAGAGGTGATTTATCTGTAAAGCAAAATGGATCAACAATTTTGCTACTACAGTCAGCACAATATATTGCCCTTATAAAAGATAGGTACCAGTCCATCATGCACATTTCAACATTATAAATTGATACAGATCTGGCTAAGGAATCAAACAAACTGAAGTTTAGAATTAAGATGGCAGTGTATACTAAGAACAGACCACAGAAATTTGTCTTCTATTACATTACCAAGGAACTGGTTTTTATAATGGATAAATGGCTTTTCTGCGTTGCATTTTTTTCTGAAATATTATAGATTTTGTCTTCATTATGTTAACTGTTATGTGCCATTTGTCACAGATAATCATTTTAGAAAATATGTAATACCAAATGTATCATATTACAGAAAACCTTCAAAGAAGTTTGATGGAATCAGAAGGACTATTGGTTCTAATAATCCGTATAACACTACTCCTAGACAGTCGGTAGATGGTATATCTGGTGTTTACGACGACGAAGAAATTTATAACGAGATTAACGAGGACGCTATGGTAGGCACTGATAATGGTGGTTACTTAGATGCACTTCCGCCCAGCTATGATGAAATAGGTAATGTCGAGTTACGACAAGACGGTACTGCCGGTTACATGAACCACAAATCAGAAAGACCATCAAGTGAGGATTATTTAACACCTATATCAGCCCAAAATAATCAACCAATTAGACCCAACAATGACTATTTAGAATCAGGACAAGTCCCTAATGGACGACCACAAAGTGACGATTATCTTAAACCGGGAGTGTTCATGGGAGATGATGTTAATCTGTAAACATAATCATAGAAAATATTATCCTTTTTTATGTTTGAATATTTATTCAGAAATTAAATGATGTGTCATGAGTATCCTATAGAAGAGTACTAGACATTTGCGGAAACTAGGTCTATATCTAGGATTACACTTTAGACTTACGATTACAGGTAACAAAAACAAGGGGTCATCTCGAAATACAAAAACAAACCAACAATACAGATACAAAATAGCAAATGATGTCTTCTATAAAAAAAAAAAATGTAAGCAACACGTTAAATTTTACGTGTCCGAAACGCTGTTCTGGATTTACCATCAAGACCGCACAAAGCCGAATATTTGAAGACAAGGATTTATAAGGACCGAAGGTGTAGATAGATGTATGTTATATATATTATCAGCAGGAGAAATAGACTCTCCCCGCGAAACAGGGTACTTTTTAATGCAATGGTTACTATACGAAAACTAGCAAAAATATTGTTCAGATGATACTCTACTGCACGATTACAACTTTGTATCCGCAACTGTTGCGTTGCCGACTTTAAAAATATATTTGTGATTTTTTTAACATTCTTCTCGCCTGCTACACTTTTGCATTCTTTATCCCTAACAATCAATTGAATAGATTTGCGTATAAATTTTGTGTTTGAAATGAACAACGTCGAAGTGAGAGATCACGGGCTGTTCCGGCGGTTGGAACACCCCTTTTCTTGCCGATCAATGCTTTTGAATAGGGACATATGGTCGGACACCCCCCCCCTTTTATCTTGGGTTGGAATCTCCTTTTGAAAATGGCTGGATCGACCCCTGCGTCGTCAGTGCACTCTATATAATAGTACCAGTCTCGGAACAGGGGTTAAATAAAACTCATGTTTCGAGCATACTAGTCCCACCCATGTTCATGGGGGGTAAATATCGAAACCGCGAAAAATAAAACGTCCATTCCCAAGATCTTTTTATAATAATTGCATAAAAGAAAAACAACTTGGAACTCGTTTGTCTTTTTTTGCTTGTTGCTGTTGAAAACATAGATAGCAAAGTTTTAACTATTTGAGTACAGCTATTCTACATTTCAACTGAGTCTGGCGAACAGTCTAAAATATATTTCCGACACAGAAAAGTTCGTTGATAACTTTTTTTTGATTTTTTTTTCTCGAATAGTTGTGATTTTTTTCTATTGAAACCAAAAACGTAGACAAAAGTGTTTGTCCTATTCAGGAAAAATAAAAGATTTCAAAATTATACCGAACGGCAAGTGAAATTTCATGAAGAATAAATAGCTCAAAAACACCCGTCCGCTGATTTCCTCATTCTCTTTAAAACAAAATAAAAGAGAGAAAGTATGTCTTAGCATAAATATGCTTACATGCTCCATGGTTGATTGCACCTTTCTTACACAAAGTATTGCTGACTTTTTTTCAGCAATTGTCACAATCTATCTACTGCAACGACAATTGCGATATTTTGTGTGTCTCATGTTAAAATTTATTTTAAAATAATGTTAGTTCGTTCTATCATACTTCGTACAATTGCAACATTTTCTACCTTGGATAACACAGTATACAATAATTAGTGTTAACACATTGCTGCAAATATATTAGAAAAAAAAAATTGTTCAACTACAGAAAAACATCCCTATCGTTACATTGTTTTGGATCGACGGTTTATTTTTACACTTTGAGAAAGCCCTATATTTAAATGCTACCTGTAAGTGTAATTGTAATCCTAATCGTAGGTGTATGACAGTTTCCGCAAATGTCTATTAACCTTGTAGGTACTATATTTCCAAACAGATTACATTTTTTTTTCATTTCAGCATTTAATATGAAGTATTTCTTAGGGGACGACCATTTGATATTCGTGGGATAAGAATGAATTTTGCGGATTTACTACATCTTCATATTCTTATTTTCACTTTTGTACACAACTGTTATTTGCATTGTGTTTCGAAATATTCATTTTCATCCCTTTATGCAAGGTTATCTATTTGCAGTTCTTACCAAGCCAGAATATTCAATTTCATAATCCTCCTGCCCCCTCCTTCCACCTTCAAAACTCAAATGGTCGCCCCTTTATAAATGTTAGGAAGGAAAACTTGTATTTTAATGTGTTAATGTCTTTCCTTACGGAGAATATTGGAATACACACATTTGTATGGGACAAGTAATAAACCGATATTATGACAAAAGACATGTTGTTTTATTGACTTCTTTAGATGAAAGCTAAGCAAAACGTTTTGTGCAAAATGTTTACAAGTTATTTTTGCTAAAAATTTATTTGCATTAGGGAGACGAACATTTGATTTTTTGAGGTTGGGAAGGAGTATTTTTGTTTAAACAATTATTTCCTGCACATTGTATGGTAGAATATTTATTTTCATCGTAAAAGTAAAATTAATATTTTTTCCTCATTTCTTGTTTCGTTTTCCTAAATAAATCAGTTCAAACTATGAAACACCATTAAACATGTATTTGTAATTAAAAAAGGCAAGGAAGAACTATATTATAGTTTGTAAAATTTTTATGTTGATATTGGAAACATTAAAACTTGTTCCACAAAAGTGCGAGTGCTATATCTACCTCAGGCAAAGTTGACCCAAGATTAATATGACTATTATATTTAGGTCATTTTTAGTCATATATCTCTTCAACTGTTTCGGTTCTTATACATCCTAAGCTTTCAAATATTGGCTTTGAGAAGGTAAATCTCCTCGGACGCATGAAAATTATAAACTGTTGTTTTCATTTTTTTCTGTAGCCAAATATGCAAAAAATAAAAACATCAGCGAAACAAAAAGAAAGACCTGGACAGAACTGCCAATTGTCAAAAGTTAATTTTATAAAATAAATGCGACAGTAGTTCATCGATGTTGAAATATCGTATATCTATTAAAAAGAAAAATCAAGGTTACAAACGAAAACTGAGGGCATTGCATGAATTTAAAATCTTATTAAAGATACCAGGCTTATAATTTTTTATGACAGTTTCGCATTTCGTCTACATAGCCAGCTTTCAATGGCGCTCGATTCAAAACAGTTAGAGGCCAAATCAAAGAAGAAATTGAAGAGAATTAAAAGCCAAAAATATATGATAAAGATGTGTCAAAATATGGCCAAGGCAAACCATGCCTGGGGTAGAGAAACCTAAGTGTTTCTTGGTACATTACATGATCATATCAATGATACTTCATGTCAACACAAAAGTGCTGACCACTGAGCTGGTGGTATATAAAACCGTTTATAAATTGTGTGCTTGATGTAAAACGAGTGTTTCACTTATAAATGAAACTTATTATAGTAAACGAATTGTAGTATGTTGACTTTTCAAATAAGAAAAGACATGATTTAGTTTTCCCTTTGCTAATTTTCTATTTTTTTTAAGCAATATTCCAGAAAAAATTAAAAATATCAGTATTATACGATATCAAAGGGTTAACATTTCTTTTAATGAATGTCTTGGTTTCTGCTTACAAGATAGCCGCTGAACCAAGGATTCTTCATGGCAAATTGTAAGTCATCTCCTCGAAGTTTTTACAAGCGCCAACATGATTTGGTTGATTGCTTTGGAAAATCTGTCTTACTACTGAAATGTTACATTTATGGTAACCACTATTCAATCAGCTTTTCCTCTTTCATATCCTCACCGAATGTGATTCATACCCTGTCTTTCCTTTCGTTCGTCAGCTTGTCTGATTATCTGCCTGTATGTTCATGTACCCATGAAGCGCAATGACTATTAACGAAACTACACACTTATAGAACACTCCCGATAGATGTACATCAAGGCTTAGCAATATAATCCCGATCAAACATATTAAAGTGGAGTTAATCGATTATATTCTTGGCGGTTGTATTCATTGGTGAGTTCACTCACAGTTCTAGTTAAAATATGAGTTGCAGACAGAAAGTGACGATGCAAAACTCAGAATTATGATTTCTTTTTTCAACAAGGATGCAGGCTACACGATAAACGTTGAATTAATATTTATTTAGTATATTCCAGTAATTCAAACAGTGACAAAAACTTATTACGCATTCTCAATCAGAACGCATAAAGAATGTTTACACAAAACATATTTTTGGTCGTTTATAAAAAACCAAGGTATTTCATTACATTTTCTAGGTACTGCAGGATTTTCACATAAAAGTGAAGTGTCAATGATAGGCTGAATTAGCATTTAAAACTTGAAGTCCTTGTAATTCTATGCCTTTCACCTTACGATACTTTTCGTATTTAAAGCTTATGTAACTGGTTAGTGTAACAAGGAAATTATATTAAATTTTTATGTATAATATATTCAAAGAGGTCATTTCACAAAAACTGTAGAAGTGTATATTTCAATGTATGTGGAATGTTGCAATAAATTATGATGTGAATATAGTAAAATTCAAATAAGAATATAAATTCAAGACATATACATAACATAAATGCAATGAAGTACTTATTTGATGACAAGTAGTTTTAGTACTGTAATTTTAATATTTCATGTATTCATATCTCCCAAAAGATAACCTCATATCACTTCAAGAAAACAAATACATGATATAATACCAGACGTTGGCAAGTCCATCAAATGCAAAAGTTATATTATCTATTTGAATTTGATACGGCTCTATCACTACTTTTCAATTGCCTTTTCACCGTACTGTTTCTGTTTTGCTTTATTGCTTTCACTTTTCCAGCATATTTCTAATATAAAATAATATTATGTCTTGAGTTAGAAAAATCTAAACAATATTTCGAATAATTTAACATTTCAACAACAGTAAAGGAGTAGGTTCAGTAAGACCCCTTTTTTGGCCCCAAAATATAGCAGTTTTACAAAATTGTTAAAATGTAAACTTTTAGCTATTCATTGGAAAGTAGATTACTTCTGTTACATACATATGGGCTGTTTTTGATAATACAATGCATATTTATCGGGTACTAGCATCATTAAGTCATGCTAAATTATTGAATTCTTCATAATTTTAGCATTTGAGTTAATATTTAGACGGTTTCCGTCTTAAATGGACGTGGCCGCATTTGTGTTCATTCTTGATATTTAAATGTAAGTTGTATTTGATGATAATACATAACATATATAAAACCGTTTATAAATTGTGTGCTTGATGTAAAACGAGTGTTTCACTTATAAATGAAACTTATTATAGTAAACGAATTGTAGTATGTTGACTTTTCAAATAAGAAAAGACATGATTTAGTTTTCCCTTTGCTAATTTTCTATTTATTTTAAGCAATATTCCAGAAAATTAAAAATATCAGTATTATACGATATCAAAGGGTTAACATTTCTTTTAATGAATGTCTTGGTTTCTGCTTACAAGATAGCCGCTGAACCAAGGATTCTTCATGGCAAATTGTAAGTCATCTCCTCGAAGTTTTTACAAGCGCCAACATGATTTGGTTGATTGCTTTGGAAAATCTGTCTTACTACTGAAATGTTACATTTATGGTAACCACTATTCAATCAGCTTTTCCTCTTTCATATCCTCACCGAATGTGATTCATAGGAAATACCCTGTCTTTCCTTTCGTTCGTCAGCTTGTCTGATTATCTGCCTGTATGTTCATGTACCCATGAAGCGCAATGACTATTAACGAAACTACACACTTATAGAACACTCCCGATAGATGTACATCAAGGCTTAGCAATATAATCCCGATCAAACATATTAAAGTGGAGTTAATCGATTATATTCTTGGCGGTTGTATTCATTGGTGAGTTCACTCACAGTTCTAGTTAAAATATGAGTTTCAGACAGAAAGTGACGATGCAAAACTCAGAATTATGATTTCTTTTTTCAACAAGGATGCAGGCTACACGATAAACGTTGAATTAATATTTATTTAGTATATTCCAGTAATTCAAACAGTGACAAAAACTTATTACGCATTCTCAATCAGAACGCATAAAGAATGTTTACACAAAACATATTTTTGGTCGTTTATAAAAAACCAAGGTATTTCATTACATTTTCTAGGTACTGCAGGATTTTCACATAAAAGTGAAGTGTCAATGATAGGCTGAATTAGCATTTAAAACTTGAAGTCCTTGTAATTCTATGCCTTTCACCTTACGATACTTTTCGTATTTAAAGCTTATGTAACTGGTTAGTGTAACAAGGAAATTATATTAAATTTTTATGTATAATATATTCAAAGAGGTCATTTCACAAAAACTGTAGAAGTGTATATTTCAATGTATGTGGAATGTTGCAATAAATTATGATGTGAATATAGTAAAATTCAAATAAGAATATAAATTCAAGACATATACATAACATAAATGCAATGAAGTACTTATTTGATGACAAGTAGTTTTAGTACTGTAATTTTAATATTTCATGTATTCATATCTCCCAAAAGATAACCTCATATCACTTCAAGAAAACAAATACATGATATAATACCAGACGTTGGCAAGTCCATCAAATGCAAAAGTTATATTATCTATTTGAATTTGATACGGCTCTATCACTACTTTTCAATTGCCTTTTCACCGTACTGTTTCTGTTTTGCTTTATTGCTTTCACTTTTCCAGCATATTTCTAATATAAAATAATATTATGTCTTGAGTTAGAAAAATCTAAACAATATTTCGAATAATTTAACATTTCAACAACAGTAAAGGAGTAGGTTCTGTAAGACCCCTTTTTTGGCCCCAAAATATAGCAGTTTTACAAAATTGTTAAAATGTAAACTTTTAGCTATTCATTGGAAAGTAGATTACTTCTGTTACATACATATGGGCTGTTTTTGATAATACAATGCATATTTATCGGGTACTAGCATCATTAAGTCATGCTAAATTACTGAATTCTTCATAATTTTAGCATTTGAGTTAATATTTAGACGGTTTCCGTCTTAAATGGACGTGGCCGCATTTGTGTTCATTCTTGATATTTAAATGTAAGTTGTATTTGATGATAATACATAACATATATAAAACCGTTTATAAATTGTGTGCTTGATGTAAAACGAGTGTTTCACTTATAAATGAAACTTATTATAGTAAACGAATTGTAGTATGTTAACTTTTCAAATAAGAAAAGACATGATTTAGTTTTCCTTTTGCTAATTTTCTATTTTTTTTAAGCAATATTCCAGAAAAAATTAAAAATATCAGTATTATACGATATCAAAGGGTTAACATTTCTTTTAATGAATGTCTTGGTTTCTGCTTACAAGATAGCCGCTGAACCAAGGATTCTTCATGGCAAATTGTAAGTCATCTCCTCGAAGTTTTTACAAGCGCCAACATGATTTGGTTGATTGCTTTGGAAAATCTGTCTTACTACTGAAATGTTACATTTATGGTAACCACTATTCAATCAGCTTTTCCTCTTTCATATCCTCACCGAATGTGATTCATAGGAAATACCCTGTCTTTCCTTTCGTTCGTCAGCTTGTCTGATTATCTGCCTGTATGTTCATGTACCCATGAAGCGCAATGACTATTAACGAAACTACACACTTATAGAACACTCCCGATAGATGTACATCAAGGCTTAGCAATATAATCCCGATCAAACATATTAAAGTGGAGTTAATCGATTATATTCTTGGCGGTTGTATTCATTGGTGAGTTCACTCACAGTTCTAGTTAAAATATGAGTTGCAGACAGAAAGTGACGATGCAAAACTCAGAATTATGATTTCTTTTTTCAACAAGGATGCAGGCTACACGATAAACGTTGAATTAATATTTATTTAGTATATTCCAGTAATTCAAACAGTGACAAAAACTTATTACGCATTCTCAATCAGAACGCATAAAGAATGTTTACACAAAACATATTTTTGGTCGTTTATAAAAAACCAAGGTATTTCATTACATTTTCTAGGTACTGCAGGATTTTCACATAAAAGTGAAGTGTCAATGATAGGCTGAATTAGCATTTAAAACTTGAAGTCCTTGTAATTCTATGCCTTTCACCTTACGATTCTTTTCGTATTTAAAGCTTATGTAACTGGTTAGTGTAACAAGGAAATTATATTAAATTTTTATGTATAATATATTCAAAGAGGTCATTTTACAAAAACTGTAGAAGTGTATATTTCAATGTATGTGGAATGTTGCAATAAATTATGATGTGAATATAGTAAAATTCAAATAAGAATATAAATTCAAGACATATACATAACATAAATGCAATGAAGTACTTATTTGATGACAAGTAGTTTTAGTACTGTAATTTTAATATTTCATGTATTCATATCTCCCAAAAGATAACCTCATATCACTTCAAGAAAACAAATACATGATATAATACCAGACGTTGGCAAGTCCATCAAATGCAAAAGTTATATTATCTATTTGAATTTGATACGGCTCTATCACTACTTTTCAATTGCCTTTTCACCGTACTGTTTCTGTTTTGCTTTATTGCTTTCACTTTTCCAGCATATTTCTAATATAAAATAATATTATGTCTTGAGTTAGAAAAATCTAAACAATATTTCGAATAATTTAACATTTCAACAACAGTAAAGGAGTAGGTTCAGTAAGACCCCTTTTTTGGCCCCAAAATATAGCAGTTTTACAAAATTGTTAAAATGTAAACTTTTAGCTATTCATTGGAAAGTAGATTACTTCTGTTACATACATATGGGCTGTTTTTGATAATACAATGCATATTTATCGGGTACTAGCATCATTAAGTCATGCTAAATTACTGAATTCTTCATAATTTTAGCATTTGAGTTAATATTTAGACGGTTTCCGTCTTAAATGGACGTGGCCGCATTTGTGTTCATTCTTGATATTTAAATGTAAGTTGCATTTGATGATAATACATAACATATATAAAACCGTTTATAAATTGTGTGCTTGATGTAAAACGAGTGTTTCACTTATAAATGAAACTTATTATAGTAAACGAATTGTAGTATGTTGACTTTTCAAATAAGAAAAGACATGATTTAGTTTTCCTTTTGCTAATTTTCTATTTTTTTTAAGCAATATTCCAGAAAAAATTAAAAATATCAGTATTATACGATATCAAAGGGTTAACATTTCTTTTAATGAATGTCTTGGTTTCTGCTTACAAGATAGCCGCTGAACCAAGGATTCTTCATGGCAAATTGTAAGTCATCTCCTCGAAGTTTTTACAAGCGCCAACATGATTTGGTTGATTGCTTTGGAAAATCTGTCTTACTACTGAAATGTTACATTTATGGTAACCACTATTCAATCAGCTTTTCCTCTTTCATATCCTCACCGAATGTGATTCATAGGAAATACCCTGTCTTTCCTTTCGTTCGTCAGCTTGTCTGATTATCTGCCTGTATGTTCATGTACCCATGAAGCGCAATGACTATTAACGAAACTACACACTTATAGAACACTCCCGATAGATGTACATCAAGGCTTAGCAATATAATCCCGATCAAACATATTAAAGTGGAGTTAATCGATTATATTCTTGGCGGTTGTATTCATTGGTGAGTTCA